CTTTCTCAATACAACTCAACTATAGGAATATATGTGAATCATATCTCAATAAAACAGTTGGGGGTGATAAAATAAAAATAAAACAAGACCATTAAAATGAATCCAAATATGACTTCGAGTATATTCCACTTGAATTTAGACCTTCTCCATTATAGATTTACTTTACTGAAAACTAATCACCAAAAACCTGCTGAGTTGTGGGATGACATCCATAATACCATACATGAAAAATCAACAGTTAGTTAAAAAGACAGGAAAGAAAGAAAAGAACAAAGTGATGTCAGAAGGGACTCTGACACTTGCCCCTGACCATAGAGTAGCTAAACAAATTGACAAATAATGATGCAAAAACAAAGAACATAAAAATTCAAATATAAATATTATATAATATAAATATAATATAAAATTTCAGCTGGAGACAGAGTATGATAATGAAATGTACAAAGACCTAGAGTAAGACAAAGGAAGAACACACTCATTATTTCTCAAGCTAAAAGAACTGAAGAAAAAAATTTAAGCCTTGAGATGGAATACTGATGGATTTTATGGGCAAAATACTGAGCAATGCAGGACACATCAAAGGATGATTAAAAGAATAGAGTCACTGTGTCAAAAAGAACTAGTCAACATTCAACATTTGAAGAGGTAGCATATGATTAAGCAACAACGATACTGAAGAAGTACAACCTGTATTGAATGCTGTAGCAAAATACAAGGCTCCAGTAATTGATGGCATATCAATTAAAATGTTTCCATAAACAAACAAAGCACTGGACGCACTCACTAGTCTGTATTACGAAATATGGAAGACAGAGGCCAGGCTAACTGAAAGAGATTCCTGATTGTGCCCATTGCAAATGAAGTGACCCAAGAGAATGCACAGATTTAGTGAATGGTATCATTATTATCACATATAAGTAAAATTCTGAAGATTATCTGAGTTATATACAGTCAATTAATATGGCCCTTCTATCCATAATTGCTTTTACGGCACATTGTAGTTCTGAACTTTATACGCCTGTGGCTGAAAGTGCCATTTTAGAGGGCATTCCCTACTAACGGACAGGAATAGGATGGGATTGACACTTGACCTTAGTAGAGGGTATGAATCAGGCTACACTTTTTGTAGAGGAAATTCCAAAACATTTCACTGTGCTCATGTAGAACCTGTACACAGCAAGGCAGTCTTTCAAACAGAACAAAAGAATATTGCATGGGTTAAAATCAGGAAAAGTGTCCAGATTGTAGTCTTTCATCATACTTATTCAATCTGTATGTTGGATGAATAATCCAAGAAGCAGAGTTATATGAAAAAGAACATGGCACCAAACTGGAGGAAGGCTCATAAGAACCAGGAATATGCAGATGACATAAACTTGAATGCCAAAAGCAAGGAGGACCTAAGGCACCTCCAGATGAAGAGCACAGACTAGCTTTCAGTATGGATTCCATCTCAACAAAAGTCCTTTCAACAGGCTGAATAAACATCATCATAAACTGAGAAAAAATGAAGTGATGAATGATTTCATTTTACTTGAATCCACAATCAACACTCAAAAAAGCAGCAATCTGCTGGGCAAATCTCCTACAAGACAAGGAGGTGGGTTTGACCTAAGCTCAATTTGATCATTGCTTAGGGTTTGACCACTGCTCAAAATACCTATGGTATTTTGTATTGCCTCATCTGCATGTGAAAGCTCAACAATGAATAAAGCTGAGCTTATGTGAATTGGGGTGTTGGCAAAGATTTTGGAAAGTACTATGGACTGCCCTGGTGGTATTGTCAGGCAAACACTGGACTGCCAACTTATAAGGTCGGTGGTTCAAAAACACTAGCTGCTTCTCAGAAGAAAGCTAAGGCTGTCTGCTCCCTTAAAACGTACAGCCTCAGAAATCCAATAGAGGAGCACTATGGAGTCAAAATCGACACAATAAACTGCTAAGAGAACAAACCAATCTCAGAGTAAGCACAACCAGCATACTCCGTAGAAGCAAGCCCATATTATGAGAGACCAGTCAAAGGAAAAGGACATGGCTGATAAAGTGGAGGGTCAAGGAAAAAAGTGGAAGACTCTTCACAACATGGGTTGATATGGTGGATACAACAAGTAACTCAAGCACAGCAATTGTGAGGATGGTGCACAGGAAGTTTTATTCCTTGTACATAGGGTCACTATGAGTTGGAACCAATTTGATGGTCCCTAGCAACAATGACAAAAGTACTACATAGTCTCTCCCTTAACTTTTTAAACGTAACAAAGTTCCAGTTTCTAATTATTTATGTGAAAATAATAAAATCCAAATTCAAAGGAGAAAATGGTATCAGAGCTTAAATTGTGAAGACCAAGTTTGCCGAAGGCCACAGATTCCATCAAAGTGGAGGCCCCACATTAATTTGCGATGTCCCAACAATGTGACTAGTCCAAAATGTGACTAGCCTTGCTATCAGACAAGAGAGCATTGTGAAGTCAATTGTGGCAGACGTATTTAGGTTAAAATGTAATATCATCATTTTATCTCCCTTTTGACCCATTTTAAAGTTTTGGTTTTTAATATTTCCTTTAATTTCTATTGAGATTTTTCTGTTTTGCCTATTCCTTATTATTTTTTTTATCTTTTTTAATCCTTATTATTAGAGGGGTTTTTTGTTCACTTCCTATTTGTGTTATTTTCTGTGCATGAAATCCAGAGTAGCAAGGCCGGGACTTCGCATGGGCAGCTCGCCAGCCAAGGCCCAGCCCGGAGGCTAAAGATTCGCCCCCCCCTGCCGCTACCACCACCTTCCCCTCCCAGGTCAAATGGAAATGAGTGGGGGATGGGGGATACCCTTCCAGATCACTTAGCATCCGCAGGACCCACAGGAATAAGGCTTATAGTCAATCCCCAATGACTCAAAGGGGCTGGAAAAAGGAGGGAGGGGTGGAGGGAAAGGGGACAGGCTGAATCCAGGAAAGGTGAACTTTTCCTGTCCCTCCCCACCCCAGCCCTGCGGTCTCGGGGGCACTTCCCAGAGGGAGACAGATAAGGAAAGTAAGGCACCGGAGCCCTAGGTGGGCACTGACACCCCTAGCAGTGGGAGGGTCCTCTCAAGAACGGCCTTTTTGGTGTGATCTCGCACCACCGCCAAGTGAGGGACAACTGGCACAGAAGAAGGATGTGGGGTCCTTCCCTCCTTTTTTGTCACCTATAACAACACTTTTTCTGAATGGGGAACCCTGGTGGTTTAGTGGGTGACACGTGGGGCTGGTGGCTACTCTGCGGCCAAGCGGTGATTTCTAGGGATTTACAGCAGCAGAAACCCTGAAAAACAGTTCTACTCTGCCCTTAGGAGTCCCGATAAACTCCTGGGCAGTGGGCTTAGATTTTGCTTCTGCAGGGCTTTCAGGGCCTCGCCCCCACGCCCTTACTACACAAGTCCTTCCCAATGGCTACCAGTCTTCCCAAGCCCCTCCCAGCACCTGCCTCCTGCGGGGCCACAGAACCAGACTGGACCCAAGGGCAAGGGGGCGGGCGGGGCGGGGCATTGCTGGCAGAAGTGACATCCGCCCAGCGCACGGACTGGAGGCATGGAGATGGCGCTCTGCGGGGACCCTCTGCCGACTGACAGCCATCCCCTCGCCTTTCCTCCATTCCCCTGAAGCTGCTGAATAAAGCAATATTGCTGTGTTAATTAAAAAAAAAAAAAAAAGAAATCCAGAGTAGTTAAGTCTATAAAGTAAGTTGATTAATAATTACCTATCTGAATGGCAGGGGAGGTTTGAGGAAATAGAGCATGATGAAAAAACGTTCTGAAATTGACTATGGTGGTGATAGTACAACTCTTCTTAATATGACTGAATGATTAAGCTGTATGATATGTGAAGTATATGCCAGTAAAATTTTTTAAATGCAATATATTCAATCATAAACTATTCTCCTGTCCAAAAAAAGTCATTTAAGGAATTGTCTTCATGCTGTTCTTGTATTCCACTAAGTCAATTCCAACTCACTACCACTCTGTATGAGAGTGGACTCGCGTCCCATAGGGTCTCCAGGCTGTCATATGTATACACGTGCAGACTGCCAGGTGTTTCCAACCACAGATCTGTATCTTAGCAGCCAAGCACATAACCACTGCTGCAACAGGGCTCTCTCTGTACCATCACCTTACAACAGAACAATGTTATGATCTGTTTAAAGTCTAAAATTAAAACGCTTAAATAGGCAAGGTATATGTTGTTAGGTCATTTCCTACAACCCAGTAATGCACAACTTCTTATCATGAATACTTTATTTCTCCCAAATTTAAGAATTCGTTCTAAAAAGAAGAGTTGACTTTACATTTAGTACACAAAGTACAGCCTAAAATTATTCTGGTTTCCTCCAGTATTATTAAAAGGCAGTGTTTTCTGTGCACTTTGAAGTACTCCAACAGTCTTTTGTTTTGTGTTTTTTAAGGACCTATAAATATAAAAACATATGTAGCTATATAGTGCCATCTACTGGAGAAAAAAAACTGTTACTCTGAAAATTCACTATTTTCTCTAAGTCCAACATACCTACACTGCCTTTACAACATATAACTAACTGTCCAGAAGTATCTATTCACCTAATCATCTACAAAGAGGTGACTCTAATTCTGATTAAATGGAAAATGCATTATTACCCCACCAGTACCACAGAGGCAAGTATGAAGAAGATAGAGATTATTGTCCAGATGGTTTAGAAATGACCCAGAAATTCCTTCTCAAGGAACTCTGTTCAGAACTAAAACCTCACACTTCCCAAAATAAAAACTTATTTTCAACATGACTAATTCATTCAAGGTCCACAGAGAAAAACAGTAATAAAGATAATGATTTATAATTAAGTGTAACTCTTTTCCTCTCTTTACATTCTTTTATATTAAAAATGAGGGTAATAAATAAATTTTTAATTTTTTTTTAAAGAGGGCAAAAAGACATATTCCTATACCATCTTGAATTTTTAAAGGATTACAGGAGATTGGGGGGAGAACTCACTGAGGTGCTACACGTCTCCAATAGCGATCAATTCCATTTTTAAAATATAGCACAGCAAGCCACCTGACATTTATATCCAGGGTATGGTTTGTGAAAATATTCTGTAAATAAAAACAAGAGCATTAGTATGAACATGCAATAAGCAAAAAGTAAAACTAATGTACCTAAAATATTGATGGATATTTTTATTCGATACTTTATCTAGATTTTATCCATTTTTACTTTGTCTGTGTGTGTATATATATATATATACACATCTATATATATCAACAATTCATATAAAACCTGCTCAGAAATATTTCAACTATTTAAACTAAGAATGAAGTACACAGTGACCTATCATAATATTCAACTTTAAGGAAGATATGAAAATTTCCACAATGAAAAATTTTAACTTGGAAACAAACTAAGCTAATTATTTTAAATGCATAACATAACTCCTTCTACCAAAACAAAACTAAAATACTTTCAAAATTTAAAAAGTATGCCCCCATGAGATAAGATGTCAAAAACCCTGGGTTGTTAATACACAGTATGAATTCATCTATTTCAAATTACTCTCCTTATCAAAATAAGTCTGCTTAAAAATAAATTCCACAGAACATTCTAAAATTATGTGTAGGCAGAAACAATAAGAATAACTTCATCTCAGAAATGACCACTACTCGAATATTCACTGAGTTAATCCAAATTCAAGCAGCTCTTGGCTTTGCATAGTTGTGCTAAGTAGAATTATGACTGTGCAAGACAAAAATGTGCAAAAGTCATCTAGTAAAGCAATCTAAATTCCCATAAACCAAACAGTGGACAATCCCAGAGGTACATATTCAAAATGGAATACTATGCAGCATTAAAGAACAATGAAGAATCCAAAGTCCCAGATAACATGGGTGGGCAGTAAAAACATGCTGACTGAAATAAGGCAATCACAAAATGACAAATTTTGTTCTTCTAAGATCACTATGATAAATCATTAAGAAAGGTTTTCACATAAGAAACACTCTGACAGTTACAAACCACACAGTGACTTCAATGAAAGAGGAAAGTAATATGTAATTAAAATGATGACGCACAAGAAGACAGTGGGAGGAGTCCAAGAGCTAAAGGGAACGGGGCTTAAAAAAATCTTCATCTAATCATCGATGAGAAAAGGTACAGCCATTCTGTGACCTTTAAAATTTTTGTCACAACATAAATCATCTACTGTAGGATATGAATCTACAGGGAAATGAATTAGTAAAATTAATTATTGCCTTCTCACTCAAAAACTCACTGCTATCAAGCCAATTCCATAGAACAGGGTAGACCTGTTTCCTATGGTCTCCGAGACTAGCTCTTCATGGGAGATGAAAGCCAATCTTTCTCCTTGTGGAGCAACTGGTCGTTCCAAACTGTTGACCCTGCAGTTAGAGGCCCAATGCTCCAACCCCTATGACACCAAGGCTTCCCCATTTATCCTTTAGTATGCTGCAGTTTAAAATGGTACAAGCACTGAGAATTAAAGTGTTTTCTTTCTTTAAAAAAAAAATATATTTAGAGCAATGAATGCATAGGACAAGTGGCACAGAAGATTAAGTACTAGGTAACTAGCCAAAAAAGGTTAGCAGTTCAAATCCATCAGCCACTCTTCAGAAGATGAGGCAGTTTGCTTCCATTCAGAGTTACAGGCTCAGAAACCTTATGGAGCAGCTCTACCCTGTCCTAAAGGGTCACACTAAGTCGGAGCCAACGAGACAGCACTGAGTTCTTAGGGTTTCCCAGTGCATGGAGCAAATGTAAGAGACAGGGTGTGCTAACAGAGTGAAACCATATTGTGCCTTGGACCAAAACATAAAACTCCCCAGAGCTGCCCTCCTAAACAACACAATCTTGTATGTAAAATGTCCAAGAAAAAAAATGATAAAAAAATAATGGTGTCACAGGGATAAAAAGTATGTGTTAAGTATTAAATGCCGTTATCTTACATGGAATCCTAGCTTCAGAAATTTTATGTGCACACAAGCAAAAATAAAATGATACACACACACCAACTTTTCTAAGGGACTTCAAAAACTTCATGGAAAGACATATTTTCACTCACTTTTTCAAGAATTTTTTAAGCCCGCTCATAGACATATACAACAAAAATAATTGGACAATTCCCATTTATTCTTTAAGACCCTTCCTATAGATTAAAAATGTCTCTCAAAAAATATTACAAATCCTAACTTCCATGGCTGTAGTTAATAATTTTGGGAAATGGGATGTTTTGTTATGTTAATGAAGCAGCAATGTCTTAAGTCTATTACAAAATATAAAACGTGTCGTTTAAGCAAGAAAAGATGGGGAATGATAGATCCCATACCACATGGAACTATACAAGGAACCAGAACACAAGAATTTTCCCCTAGAACCAACAAAGCTGTATGCTTTCCCATAGACAACACCTGAATTTGTATTTCTAGTCCCCTACATTGTGAAATTTAAATTTGCTAAAAGAATCCACTTGTGTTACTTGAGGTTTAGAAGCCCTATATAATATCTAGGGAGCCCAGTGGGCATAGCTGAACCCACCAGTAGCTAAGGGAGAAAGATGAGGCTTTCTACTCCTTTAAATATTTGCAGCCTCAGAAACTCATGGGGCTGTTCTCTTTGCCCTACAGGGTCACTATGAGTCAGAACACACTGAAGGACAGTGAACCTGGTCTCAACACTCTATCACTAGATAACCCATCAGAATTGAGTCTGTTGCTCTGAGTTTCTATTGCAACCAACACTATTTCTTTCACTGAAATAACCACTCTACTTTGACTAAGTCAATTTCAGCAAGCAAGGCTGTATTATCTGCATATGAACTATCTATAGGCCATTACGGACAGTCTTTCTGCAATCCTGATCATGTTCTACCTCGTAGAGTACAGTTCTCAGAATTTAAGTATCATGAAAGGATACAAGCCTGACAAACACCTTCCCGGAAATGAAGTCATGGAGTAACCCTTATTCTGTTTTTAAAAAACTGCCTCTTGGACCATGTACAGGTTTCACAGAGCACAATTAAATATTCTTGAATTCTTATTCTTCATAATGTAAAGATTTGAAGCACTTCCTGCCTGATAAAGATCATACTACAGCTTTCAATCTGGACTATACTTCAACATAGACAAAACAAAAATCTACCAACTAAAAAAAGCAACTTATCAATACTGAAATTGTCAAGGATTTCATTTTATTTATATGCACAATCAATGCTCTTGGAAACAACAGAAACCAAAGTATGTTCTGCGTCGGGCAAATCTACTCCAAAAAACTTTTTAAATTGTTAAAGAACAAAGATAAAACTTTGATAATATTTCATTATACTAAATGAAAACTGCTAAAATAGGGGCATCTATTTACTGAAAATTAATTGTTTTAAAATAACTTACCAGCAGCACCGAATAGAAACCTGGCTGAGTCTCCCACTGTTTCAATTGCTCCTCAGCTGGTTTTAACACAGCCGTGTCCTGACTGGTGGCCTGCGTTAAGACCCGAAGAACAATAGTGCTGGCACTGTTGAGATCCATGGAACCTGGCAATGATAAGTTAACATACTTGAATGTACAGTATGCATTAAAAGAAAAACTTAATGATGAAAACAAATAATGTACAGATATGGGATAAAAGTGTATGAATGTACTGAATCACTACTATACTTTTCGTCATTACCTACTTTGTATGCTTCTGCATACAGTTTTTCATCTTCTCTATGTAGTTGCTGTTGGGTGTCAAGTCAATTCTGCCTAAAGCAGCCCTATGCATAACAGAACAAAACACTGCCCAGTCCTGGACCAGTCTCCCCATCGTTGCCATGTTTGAGCCCATTAGTCTCTGTGTCAATCCACCTCACTGAGGGTTTTCCTCATTTTCACTGACCCTCTATTTTACCAAGTATGATGTTTGTCTCCAAGTTTCCTCTTGATAAAACTCAAAACCAAACTCTGTGCTATCAAGTCAATTCTGACTTACAATGACCCTGGAGTGTATAGCAGGTCAGGCTATCTGCTACTCACGATGGCAGCAGCTAGAACCCACCAGGTGCTCCCAGGAGAAAGATGAAGCTTCCTCCTCCATACGGATTTGCAGCCTTGGAGGCTCACGGGGCCAGTTCTGCTCTGACCACAGGAACGCCATGCCGTGAGTCCTTCTGATAGTATGTCCAAATTTCGTATGACAAGACCTAATCCTCTACCATGCTATGAAAAATCTGGCTGTACTTCTCAAAAGACAGATTTGTTGGTCCTTCTGGCAGCCGACAGTTAATTTCAATATTCTTCATGAACCCCAAAGTTCATGTCTTCCCAGACATATTTGTTCATTCATCTGACAGTTCCTGGTATAGTCAATATTTTTCACCTGCATAATAATTCAAATACATCAATGCTTCTTCAGTGTTTCCTGTTCTTTAGCCAGTTTTCACATGCAAATGAGGCAAGTGGCAACACTGGGTCTTGAGTCAAACACATCTCAATCTTCAAAGTGACATTGTTGCTCTGGAACATCTAAAAGAGTTGTTTTGCATCAGATTTGCTAAATTCAATACATTGTGTGATTTCTTGATTGTGGATCCAAGTAAAACTAAATCCTTGAAAACTTCCATATATTCTCTTTATTAAGATGCTGCTTATTTAATCAGTAGTAAGAATCTGTTTTAATGTGATGACGCAATCCACTTAGGGTTGTAGCCTTCAACACCCACAGAATCTTCATGACATGAGAAAAAAAATCGAAGTTATCTAGGATTTCACTTTATTTGGATCCACAATCAAAACCCATGGAAGTTGCAGTCAAGAAATCAAAGGACAGAATGGATTGGGCAAATCTGCTGCCAAAGACCTCTTTAAAGCATTACAAAGTAAACATGTCAGTGTGAGGACTACCATGCACCTGACTCATGCCAGGGTATTCTGAATTGCCTCACATACATGTAAAAGCTGGACAGTAAGAAAGGCTGAAGAAGTGATCCATTTAAATTGTGCCACTGGTGAAGAACACGGAATATACCACAGACTGTTAGGAGAATGAACAAACGCCTTGGGAGAAGGACAATCATAATGCTCCTTAGGAACAAGGATGGTGAAACTCCATCCTATATCCTTTGGACATGGTCTCAGGAGGAACCAGAGCCTAGAGGAGAACATCATACTTGGTTTAACAGAGGATCAGAAGGAAACTCCTCAAGGAGAGGGGGAGGAGGGGGGAAGGGAAGAAGAGGGGATAACAAACCCAGGGACAAGGGAACAACA